GGGTATGTCTACGATTCCGTCTTGGAAAAGCCCTGAGATAGCAAAGAGACAAAGGGGCATGGTGCCACCAACATACTCCTGGTCAGGGGATCAAGTCCAGCAGCGGACATGATTTACCAGATTTCAAGTAGTCTTATCGAAACGTGTCCGCAGAGAGTACCTCAGTGAAGTGGGAGCCCAGCAGTATCAAGTTCCGGCATAAATCAAGTAAGGGAAGGAAAGTGAATACATTGCCAGGCAGGGTAGTTTGGATTTAGAGTTTGATGTTGGGATGTGATCTGGGTAAAGATTCACATAATTACTTCAGTTACCACAGGAAAAGTAAGAAAATCGTTTTAATCCATATTCTTTACCACATTATGCACCAGATCAAACCTAATGTCCCACATTTTCCTTTGCAACGCGGGAAGCAAAGAAAGTTAGTCTAGATGCTTCCAAACGAAAAGATAACGAAAAGAACCAGTAAAAATTAGTAGAAAGAGCAGAAGCCACTAAAAATTCCCATCTTTTTCGGATCAAATTATCTCGGCATCCACGGACAATTCCTGATCGTTTACGAAGGGCGCGGCAGAGACGGATCCACGAATCGGTTTATGGGATTCGGGTCTTTTGGAAGTTTGATCAGCTGTTTTTCGAGCTAATCAGCTATATTGACATGGTTCCCTGTTCAATCCGTCAAGTAAGGTAGAAAACGGTAATTCCGAAAACGGCTGACTAAAATTCAATTCTCACAGTTCGATTCGGACATTTTCAAAGGAGCTACACCTAGCCGAAATCGCCTCCCGATGCGCCGCTCATACCAGCCCGGCTATACGCTTGCGCCCTTCTTCCAGCTCTGCTTAGAAGGTCCATTCTTCAGTGTGAGTGTACGAAACCCACTTTGCTAACGTATTTCGATCAATCTATGGAGGCTGGTGGACCCTCAAATCCTGAACTCATTCCCAGGCGTGGAAAGACGGATTCTGATCAGGCGTTGCCACAATAGAAACCAACAGATATTCGCACGATATGAAAGGGAGGAAGATGGTAGCATAACAAAGAGCTAAACCTAAGATTGAAATTTGTAAGCCTCTTGTTAGTGGCCTGGACCAGACAAGTCTGAACTGGAGCCTTTGGAGTGGCAATTCGATATATCCCCAATGGATGACGGTTCTCCTTTGAAAATTTCATTTTAATGTCTCTTGTCTTGTTTCTAAATGTTTAATTTCTAACTTCATTCTTCATGGCTTTATTCTGAACCTTTTCCAGAAGACAGTAAGTTGTGGTCAAGATAAGGTAGCGAGAAATAACGCTGCTACGACGCATAACGCCGATAATGAGATCCCGAATCAGTTTCCCGCTTAACCTACCACTTCTTCCTTTTTATACTGGATGATCAGTTTTTGCTAATCTCACCCAGGAAGGTAAGCAGTTCGAAATGTGGTGCCCCCTATACCGTAATATGATCCCATTATGGTGCCAATCATCACTTAATTCTGAACGGAAATCGAATGCTTGGCGTATCGCAAGGTAAAATAATCAAAAGAAAAATCCAAATTCTAGTGGACAGAGAACAATAGTTTTCAGTAATTTTCCTTCCAGGAGATAGTCATTTATAAAAATACATTTTTTATACTGTAAATGTTGTTACCAATAAATAAAAAAAGAAAATCTGAGAGGAATTTTNTTTTGGTGCCAAAATGTTCCCGAAAACGTGACTAGGGGCAGATTTGTTCTTGGATTCATCTCACCGTCCCAGAGAGGGCTGGTATCTATGTGACGTCACCGGGCTATATAGTGCTCTATGATTCAGCGGGCCATTTCCCGTTTAGCATAACATTTTTCCCATTTCGATGTAACATTGACTGAGAAGGAGGGATAAAAATTTCGAAAATAATAGTTAGAAATAAAGAAGCCAAGGAAAGAGAGCTACAAAAGTCAGAGGTTGGCCTGAATTTTTGGCACGAGCACTCCTGAAAACAAGACTGATAAAGGGTGGATGAGCTGGAGATATAACTGGCCAGTGACCTCTGTGACTTCCTCCTGAGCTGAGGTGTGGGGTCTTAGAGTCATGGGGCAAATAGTCCTCATTAGAGCTCCCTCTTGGCGATCGCACCCAGGAAACCAAGCCGTAATTGACGGCAAACATAGTCCTTCTCCCTTTATTTGAGTATAGAAGCGAGTTCTACGGAGGAAATGAAGATACCTGTGCAGAAGTCCTTTGGTACAGCGAGATGACAGGTTCCTATGACCGTCTGGACGACTCAGAAATGGCAGAAAAGGAGTGTGAAGAACTGGTATTAGCCGCCGATCAATATTCCGTATAAGTCGGAAAATGGTGCGTGTGCTACGTCTGACCCAGGACGATTCCGGTTGGAGCGTCGGTGGAGGCAGTGCTGAGACTGATCGTTGTCTCCTGCACACCCGTACACTCTACCCGGCCAACATTCTGCGCCTCCACACCGGTCGTGCAGTCATCGGCAATCCATGCAACCCGTTCCGGGCGCTCTCCACTACGGCGACGCTATTTCTGAACGGGTTTCCGTTCTGGCCCTGTTCTGGTTACTTCCCCTTCAACAGCCAGCTATCCATCCAGCCAGCTTGCGTAGTCGTAGTCGTCGTCGTCGTCGCCGTCGTCGTCCGGATTCGACAACGAGGATAGGGGGTGATGCTGAAGAAGCATCGGAAGCTAGACCACTCGAAAGCTGTCGGTGGGAGAAAAGAGGGGAGAGGATTATCCGTTGGCCTTACAGAAAAGGAGGGGACGCTATCTGCTTCTAAGCATTATGGTGGCTTCTGAAGGCATCCCAAATGGGTAAAAGATAAGTGTTTAACTAACCAGTTACTAGGAAGCCAGTCAGATGGGCTTGGAAAGATGTAAATGGGAAGGAGCCAGCCGGCGAGGTGTCTATGTATGTGTGCGATTGTCGAATAGACGGGACAGGTTTTATGAGACCACGTTCTCCGGTCGGTATATGGTGGTGACGGATAACTACTAGATAGATCCGCTATAACTGTTCACAATGATTCCGTCGGTTTTCTGCTCCCTGTAGTTAAGGAGTAGGGACTTGAGGTTTCTCATGGGTGATCCGGAACCAATATGGGCCACTTGTAGGGGAGATTAGCGGCCTACAAGAGGTCATTGTCGAGTGCGAATCAGTGGGGTACTTCATTAGCGTATCACTGTTCGTAATGTTTACCTACCGACACACTGTCAAAGGAGATCCTTGTACATCCCCATCCGTCCATGTGTGTCAAGGGTAAGCAAACATGCCTCATTCTGCGCTTTTTCTCGGATTGGATAACTTCCGATTCATACCTATAATAGTTACTGTAAAGAGAGAGGCCAAAGATCTAGACCCCATCATTTACCACTGTTTATCATTTGCTATCAGAACGAACTCCCTGTTATAATTGCTAGCTACTTATTATTTACAATCGTCACAACTGCAGCATGGAGGCGCCATGGATTTACCATCAATTTTTTTTATTCTAGTGAATTTTTAGAATGGTCAATATATCAGTACACATTTATATACAGGCAAATAAACTTCTTCATTTTTACTAGCTGTTTATTGAATCTAGAGTAACTTTGGAAAGACTATAAACTTAAGGTTTAGGAGATACTGTTTTCTGAATAAGCAAATAAATAACTGATGAATATACCTCTCAGATGTTTGGAGAAAGTAATTGAGTTGCGAGGGTTGAGAAAAAAGGCAATTTTAAGGAACTTAAGCTCTGGTTTTTGTGAGCGTCCTCCCAAAGGCTTTCTTTATTGCCCGATACTCTTATTTTGACAATGTAAATGAGTTTATAGAAGTGGGTATAGGTATGGATAATATCCAAATGTAATTAATACACTAATGTGATACAGATAAATATGGAGTTCTCAATTTTCAAATCATTAGCGTCAAGGAACAATTCCTATGTGCTCCTCCCTAAACAGGATTGCCAGTCAGGATCGTGTTTGATCTGAGAAATAGCCGCTTTGTTACCAATCCGGTAAAACTGATTCCGGATCACAAATGTGGAAACAGCGCTTCTTGCCACTGCACCACGTCCGACAGTGCAGTAACATTCAAAAAATGGTGAATGTAGCGTGGCATGCCTACACCATCTCCTTCACAAGCCTACCAGATTCCTAGATAAATATAGTACAGCAAGTCTTCCTATTCAGAAGATTGTCCCTAGTCGGAGCAATAAGACCTCTACCCGTAGAAGGGAACACGCTTGCTACAGCAACTAGGAACGACAATTTCAGATGTTTCAGGACTGAAATCTATTCGACAATACACTTCAACCAAAACTGATATACTCGATCTTCTGTAACCAGCTTTGAGCTATTGGGGAGGGCATGATTAGCCTAAGTGGATTGCCGAAGATGTGCGGACCCGATCCGGAGATTAAACGCGTTTTGACGACGCACTCTGCTGTTGCGTCATATCTGCTTTGACACCTCCATACTTCTACCAGAGTCACTGAAATTCAAGTCTAAATAAAGTCTTTATCGTCAATTAGTTCCGTCTATGCGCCTCGCATTCGACTTCTATTCAGGATCGTAGCGGCAGTTTGAGGGCGTATTCGGTCTTTATGGTGAAAGGCTGTGGCTAGCCGGTGGGCCAATCAGCACTTTCAACCTTCCAGTCTGGTACTAATTACCCGACCCCAGGCCGAATACGACAGCCCAAACAGCCACTACTGAAAGAAGGAAAGGCTCGGTTGGGCTAGGGGAGTGTCGATCAGGGCCTCGAACCCAGACTATGCGTTCATGATAGTGCACCACTTGCCTCTACACCACCTCCGTACTGTCAGTAACACAGGAAGCAGAATATTGTTGAATTATCTGAATAGTTGAAAAAGAATCAAACTCCAAAAATCGCGTCTTCTGAAGGTATTTATTCTCAGATACAAACATTTCAAGAAAATAAACTCGAACTTAAAAAGAGAAAACGTACGAAAAAGGACATTTTTTAAAGTTCGCGAAAGAGCAGACCCACATAGTACCCAGAAATGGGAGTTCTATGGTTAGTCACGACATCTGTTCAAGAAAGAGTTTCATCCTTCGCTTGGACACTGTGTCCCACGATTCGTCCTTACAAATAAGCCCTATACATACTTACGATATGGCCATCATTACAAAGGAATTGCTAACTCGAGTTCGTGCAAATCTCAAATCCGTTAGAGCCNGGCGATATAACACTCGCCCTTACTTGTCGCACTTCAGCAGCTCTCATCTCCAAGCAGAATAACATAGGCTAGGCTGCTTGTGTCTGCTTATGTGTGATTGAATCGGCTCACTTGAAATAGGGCCTGCTTTACCCATCAGCAGAGATAGATTAAGCTTTGCTGCCAGGCAATTAACGTCTGAGAGCCCTTAACAACCAAAATATTTAGCGTTTATGCTTACCGTATCTGATGTCTGTCACCCTAGCAAATAAGGCACGCTATAAGTATACGATGTTTCTATACTCAAAAAGGGACTGCTGGTATGAAGCTTCCCACCGGGAGCAATCTGCACTGAATAAAAAGACAGAAACACGTAGGGGAGGGAATGAAATGGAATAAGGCAGATAAAACGAAATATCTCTTTCGGGCCTTCGGAAAATCTCTCTGAAAATGTTTGGCTCTTTTGCCTGCTTCCTGTAACATCCCTCTCATTAGACTGTGTTCAGAAATATTGTATTCGTGCATCTGTAATAACTAATAAAGTTTCTTCATAAATAAGTTAAGCTGCTATGTGCTCTGATGGCCAGTGTGGTTGCCTAGGGAAAGATGGACGAGTTTTCCGCATCAAGGTACTTGATGGGCCTTCAAGGTTTCAATTTTTATGGATTGGTAATGTATCATCGGTTTGGAGTTCCTCTGCAAAAATCTTCTGAATGAACTGATAGCGTTCATGGTCATAGTTATCGAGATAACGTGGTAAAGAAGGAAATCCTCCGATAATCCTGTTCTTCCCCAAAACCATTAAGTTATTCACATAGAAAAAATGCCTTATGGAATGTAACGATTTGATTACTTTTATTCCATATTCTGCAATAGTTTAATTTTTTTTCATTAGTTTTTAAGTTTTATCAACGAGTAATTGGCGTCTGCTTACGGCATCCAATTTTCTTGACAACAAATGAGCTTAAGGTTTTTTGGCTTCATGAAAACAAAGGTCACAAAGTGCTTTGGCATGTCTTCAACGGTATCTCTTCTTTGCAAAGGACCTCGCTCATAATCGGGTTCCGTTACCGTATAGGATAAATTGTAAGACTGCCGACGAACACAGACGCTGGTTCGAGTCCCGTCCTTGATCGGGCTGTGCTTCTAAGTCACTGTCTTATAAAGATATCCGGAAGGTCCTAAGGACCCGAAATCACGTAACAATCTGGAGATTCGAGTCCCGAATCTGAAGTAACGCCCTTTCATTTCAGTGGGACCGTTCCAGACTTTTGGCACGCCGAGGAGGTCTCCAGAAACGGGTAGCGAAAAAGTTCCTAGAAATGGGTAGGAGTTCTCTCAGTCGTTCCATTATTTTAAACGTTTCCTTTCGTTTCTTACAGTTTCTGCTTAGCCCTCTCAGTGGAAGCCGACCTCATGAAGATCTCGCGAAGGCGTGTCACCAGGCTGATTGGTTAATCTCGGATGGGCGGAGCGAGATGAGTCTAGTAGCGAGTATGGTAATGAATCAACTAGCAGCTTAGTATCTCCTACTGTATCGTTCATTGCCCGTCTCAGATATCCTCTGTCTTTAGATAGCACCTACTCAGTCTGTTTCCAGGGAATGTCCTCCCCGAATACTCCATCCAATGTTGGCGGTTTGGCTCCATCCAGTCTTGAGCAAATCCTCAGACTTCGACATGAACGAAATCAGCGAACTCCCAAATGTGCTCGATGCCGAAATCACGGTACTGTATCAGCTTTGAAAGGTGAGTAAATTAGTTGGAAAGAGGGAAATTGTCGACTGATTAAAGAAAATGTATTCTTGAATGCTACGACGAATTTATCTTAAAGGATCAGAGGTATGTAGAGCTGTAGGTTTCACTAGAAGAGTAGCACAACTGTGATGCAAAATATATCTCTTTGCAATCTAGCAAATATGTACTGAAATTCTCCATTTTAGTCTCTTCAATAAATAAATGAAAAAGCTTGTTTTTAGAGCATTTTTTAGAGTACGGAGCCGTTCAATTGCAAACTTTCCATTTCCATTTTGGAAAATTTCGCTGCTTTCCGTCCTTAACCCCTTCCTTTCCCTTCCTTTCATCCAGTCCCACCTTGAGAAGAAAGTTGCTCGGATATTGTCAACCGAACCTATACTCTGATGTTGTCAGGAAATAAACAAAATTGATGATTACTACGAGTACTTTACCTTTACTTTAATCGATTCTAGAGAGGCCAGAGAAATCTAAATATGAGAACTATTCCCTTCAGTGGATGTCTCTTAGTGGATTACACCTGAGAACCGGGGATGTGTGCTTCTGAAAGGATTTGAGCTCTGTATGAGCTCATTAGGCAACTAAAGTGTCACAATCCTTTAAGATCCGAAAGGGTACAGCCGAAAAACCGAACTCCTCAATTCCAGGTCATAAGCGCTACTGTAAATGGAAGGACTGTATGTGTGCCAAATGTACACTGATAGCCGAAAGACAAAGAGTAATGGCAGCTCAGGTACGCTTTCCTATTCTGATTACCTTACTGATGCAGAAAATGATTAGTTTCAGGTGGCATTGCGTCGTCAGCAAAGCCAAGAAGAAAAAGAAGCCAAAGATTTGCAGATTCTCTTAGGAGGGAATGGTGAGTGAATTGTTTCAGTTTTTCCAAACTAGATGGATTAGGTTTTGAAAGGGATTGTTCTCATGTCCGAGTTATCCCTTTGATATCTCGGGGGAATCTAATGCGGGTACTGTGAATAGGTGGGAGTCCGGCTCGTTGAAGCACAATGCCTTTCTCACTCTAGTACTATGGGGCTAAGATTGTCCAGTTTCCATAGGAGATTTCATCGGTCTGACTCCTAATCCCTTGATAGCTGTAATGCGGTGAGTGGGAGTACCTAAGCAAGGAGAAAGTGGATTGAGGTTCCAAAGGGGAAAACTGCAGTGGAGTAGTTTCGTTCCGAGTGAATCCAGATTTTCATATTTTTGCCGATTCAAACAGAGTGCTTCAAAAAGGGTTCCTACTTCTACACTAGCTCCATCGAGACATATCTCTGCTGAGGGCCCTCTAGTACTCCTCAGCAGTGTCCTGAAGATCAGAAACTTCTGTAAGTAAAGCCTCATTCAACTTACTTCCTTGGCTATCTGCTAGCTCAAATACGGTCATTGTTAGCAGCTTGTCACGCACGCAACATTCACAAGTCATTAGCATTGTGACCAGGTGTGTGTATGTGAGTGTGTGGGAAGAGGATGAGGGTAAATATGACCTTCTGTGACTTGTCATCGTCCTACACCACCTATTGGTTTAAGTCAATGGGAAGCCAACACTCTTTAACACTCGCAAGCCTACCCTAAATACACAATGTACTTCAGCCACATCAACACTTCCCTACCTACCACCACATCACCTAAACATGACACCCATCGACAAACACTCGGGCACAAGCTTCCCGTACACAAGTAGCGACTCCCGCTGCTACCGTAGCATCCGGCTATCCTAACGACCTTCCTGGTGAAAGGTGTCGGAGGAAAACTGTAATGTAATAGCAGTCCTACCAACCTGTAGAAGTTAAGGGGAGGCTCGATTGGGTTCCAGGTTGAATTCTGAAATTGGGTCCAATCCGTGTGCAGCGCCAGTAGCCACTGCACCATTACCGCTTTGGTGCGGGAGGCTACTTAAAAATATTTTGAGTCGGGAAAAACTTCGCAGAACTATTTCAAGTAGTCAGACAGGATTCTTGTTTCTTCGGAAAATTTTCGAAAATTAACAAAGGTGCAAATAAATAAGTTATACACAGAGCAAGACGTAATGGATAACGATTTTGAAATTTTAAAGAGTTTTTTTGCTCAACCTTTTGCCTCGTTCGAGCTTCACCTCCTTGAAAGTTGGATTGGTGGATATTTATGAGAGCAGGAGAGTATGAAGAGTAAGATAAGGGATGGTCACATTTCGTAGAAGCCTTCTGAAGAATGGCACTGCTTTAACCTCTCTTTTTTCTAGTCTTTTCTAAACTAGCTAACCTCGAAAACTCGTCAAAAACTGGCTCATTTCCAATCAGCTTCGTTTCAGCTAGTGAATTACTCGACATTCTACGCCGAAATGAACACTCCGGAATTCCAGCTGATAATGACGGTCAGTTACAGTTCATTCCTTCTGTAATTTTTAGAAATTTTTGAGAGGGACTAAAAAGTTTCAATGGAAAGTTTGCAATCGAGCTGAGAAGTCCTGCACTAGATGGAAGCAACGGATTCTGTACGTACCAGAAGTTGCTCTTTGGATTTCTATTATTTGAATAAAAATTAGGCGAAAGTGACGAAAGTAGCCTAGGAAGTATGAGTAAAACCTGAGTCAAGATTTCCTCATCATTAAGTCACCGAAATTTTCCCTGGTGAACTTTTCTGAGTCGTGATTCATAATCTAAAAATCGTCTGTCAACCTGCAGTTCTAAACGAAAGCTCTGTGCGAGAGGCATCAACAAATAGCTTATCAACCCTATAGACTTTATCCTTCACCCAAAGCCTTTAGTAGAAGAGTTCTAGAAAAATCGTTGGTGCAAATTAGATATTTTTAGGAAAAGTCCAATCCAAAATAGGCCCGTTTAGAATTTTTTTCACCTTCATATTCTGTGGTAACTTTACTATTTCGCTGCAGAACACAATGCAAAACTCTCACGAAATTGGCGAGTTATGAGTATGCCAAGAATGAGAGTAATCGCTGTTCTTCTTAGTGTAAGGGATAAAGAATACAGTGGAAAGAACAAGCAAGTACGGGTACGAGTCCTGTCCGAGATCGGAGTTTTGCCAATATTGTGAGACTTCCATAGCGCGTCTTGCGGCGGTAGTAAACAAAAACATCAAATCTTGGTGGTGCAGATGGTGGAGAGCATGGTGCAAGGGAAGTACAAGTACGGATTGGAGTCCGGATCAACTCGCCAATCTTGGTGTCCATCAAGAGCGTTTCTAGAGGTCCACGGCGATATCTTGGGGCCCACGCTAAGCTAACCACTCAGGAAAAAGATATCCTAATGAAATATTTACAGTTTTCTATCCCCAGCTACCAGAAAGTACATCTTGATGTAACTTTTCGAAAGAACATGCCCGATCCACGAGAAACTGGTCTAGGCGTGATAAGTTATGACACGGAAACA